TTTCAAAGATTTTATGCATTTCTACTATATGATCAATAGAGCCCCAACCTAAAAGCAGAACCCTGACCCAGCGGCCATGGATTTCACATTTTGGATTGATTGATTAATTATTGCTTAATGCCAAGTGGGAAATTTTTCAGTCATTTTTCGGCGGTCACATTTTGGCAGAAGCTTTTTTGCTCATCATAACCATACACTTATTTCTCTGCTTCATGTCCTTAGTTAGGTTTAGCGGTTCAGAGAAAAAGTTGAATATGTTCAAATGTTAATGACGAAGGATGAAAACAAAAAGCAATAAGTCTTCTGTCGGACTCAGGTGAATAATATTAAATACTTCGCATTTGATAGTTAGTTGTGCTATAGTAGACAATAGTTTACTATAGAAACGTATAATTTATTACAGCATTTTTGTCAGGGTATCGATCTTGAATTTTAGAATACATTTGTATTTCAATTTAGTTGGAGGTTGAAACCATTGCTCCAGTAATATTATACAATTATAATAATCATATAATAAAACAGTTAATGCTGTTATTTGAGGTCAATACGATGATTTAGACACCTTCGAAGTACAATATTCGGGCTCGGTGAATATTGTACTCCTCAGGTGTCTAAATCATCGTATTGACCTCAAAAAAACAGCAATAACTGTATATTATTACAACTTACATAATATACAGATGTATATGTTGATGATTTGTGGGTAAATAAGAGTGATACAGGTAGCATGAAATTGAAAAATTTTCCTTCCAAGTAAATCTTTGATTGCTATCATGAAATTGTTTTTATCAAAAATGATTTCAGTTATTCACTAATCCGTGGTTAGACAGAACACATTTATATATTTCCTAAATCTATGATAAGACAATGACTTTTCAAAACAAGTCAAGTGTCAATATCTCTGCTTTCAAATATTATAAATCTTGGTTTGTTTTAAAAACAATATTTTATTTAAATCTCTGAGCAAATATTTCTAAAATAAATTAAAAAGAGAACAAGAAACATAGTGCAAACATTGGAGACTTAGTTACAGAACTGTTGATTAAAAGTAAATATTTCAAACCAGTCACCTGTTTGTTAAAACTGAACCAAAAAATACCTTCTTGGCATACATGTAGGTTCATAACTTTCTTAATACGGATATAAATTCAAGCATACCTTGGAATTCCTTAAAGCAAGTTTAACAGAAGTGCTCTGTCATTCATGATGAGTAATGCCATTACAAATATGAAAGACAACCATAATGTAAGGAATGCAATAGAGAATCACTCAACATACTGTGAAATCACTCATTTTCGAGGGGGTATAATTTTCATTGTTTTTGGTGGTATGGTGAGAACCATGAAATCATGTCACCAATGAAATGTTTAATTTCAGTACTACAGTATGATATTTCTTCAACTACGAAATTAAGTCCCCTTGAATAAGTATTTTTTCCTCAAACCACAAAAAATTTACCCCCAAGAAAATAAGAGATTTTGCAGTACATTTACAATTTTCATCTGTGCTTTACATCTCATAATGCAGATCTAATAAAACTAAAACATTTGTTTAAGTTAAGACAAAAACTTATGTCTCTTGGATTTTCAACAGATTTCTCTGATGATTGTACACTGAGATACTCGAGATTCCTGTTGAAAAAAAAAACTAGGTAATTTTACAGGAAATTCATTGAACTCCATATGACTTTTTTTTCAAGTTTTCATGTTTTTTTTTTTTTTTTCAAGTGCTCTATTCATAAGAAAAACAAGACAAATCATTCCTCCTTGGTAAATTTCTGATAATCCTCATTTGTCACTATTAATTTCACATTAAACTTATGTGACAGACATATACATACCACAACCTGAAAAAAACACAGTAGAACCCGTGTCACATAAAGTCAAGTCATGTATGTAAATTTAAACCCTGCTAAATATGGGTGCAGTTGGGGGGGGGGGGGGGTTTAGAAAGAAACTGGGTGCACATAGGATCTCATCTGCAGGTATTGTTTGTAAAAAAAAAATCATTCATAGTTAAATGTTAAGTCTGTTCTGATCGGATGATCATGGTAGGACAGACTTTATGAAAGTCATTCAAACATTATGCTACAACAGTCAGGGGCATAATGCAAACAAGTTATTGTCAAAAATAACTCAAATGAGTTATTTTTTTGTCACAGTGAGTTACCTCTCTTTGCTATGACCTACTTTTTCCCAGCATTAGTAACTCAAACACGTTATCTCTAGAAAATAGTTTCAATAAATTAATAACTTGTTTAAGTTATTTTGTGTCATTCCTCCCTAACTTCACACCCTGTGCACCAAAGGTTTTTGCTCGTGCACCAAGACAAAAACAAATGTTTGATAAAATTTAAACCTTGCTCAATCCAGAAAAAATGTTCAATGTTGTGGGAAAATTGGGGAAAGTTTTTTATTTAATGATAAAAACTGGACATATAAACCATGTAAATAAAACCACAAAATAAGGATTAATATGCTGTTTATCTCCACTTCCTCACCAATTCTCTATTGGAGTCGGTGCACTCCATCTAGTATTACATAATGGAATCCCAAAATGCAATGCATATTGGCAGGAAATACAAAACTCCCAAGAAATCAAGGTCCAAGTAGGATATAAAAATAACTTATTTTAGTTATTATTAAAAAAAATTTCGTGTGTGTAAAACAACTTATTTAAGTTATTTTTTTGATAACTTGTTTGAGTTATACCCATGACTGTACAATGAAATACCTAAGCTTATAAAATTGTAATAATTAGGTCTACTTAATACACTGAGTATAAAAGTATAATTGTTCATAATACAATAGTAAGTAATTTGCTCTAATATAAAATATAATATACATAATTGCAAATATATTTAGTTTCTTAGAGCATTAATAGCTTATGTTTTGCTTTCAGTGCAATACAATCTAAATTTAACTTAAATTTAAACTTAAATTTTTATCAATTGAATGAACTTCACTAAATTAAGATTTAATTCAAGGTTATGAAATACATGTATAAATGCTTTGTGAAAGACCAAAATGCCTCTCTATCATCAATGATGTGTTACACATTCCACTGTACCATGAATTCAAGGGCTGTTTTATTCCACAAAGAAAGCAGCTCATTTACAAAATTGTGAATTTTTGGAAGGAAGTACTTTTAAGGTCTCTGGATCTTTTCTCCTTTTCTTTTGTTCATTTCTTTGAGTTAAATTGCTGACAAGTCACATTTTAATTTCTTAGAAAGATGAGCCAGAGATTTCAAATTCATAGAAAAATGTGTTTCAAAACGTAACATGTTGTACGTACTAATCTAACCATTTTAGCCAATCAACAAAAATCAGGACAATATTTTTTTATCCCTATGTCATGATATCAACAATTAAATGATCAATAAAATTTTCAATCTTTTTTACGTGCACCCAGATTTCTGTACATGTGGAATCAGAATTCAATGGCCCTCTTTCTTTGGAAACATTTAAAGAGTAAGTACATTACTTAAGTATTTGAACTCGGTTGAAATTGATCATTACAATTGAACTTCGGTGTCTCGAACACTGATAATTCAAATACCATGGATATGTTGAAGTGATTTGGAAGTCCCAACCTCTTATTCTTTAGCTATTTAACCTGATAACTTGATTAATACTTAGATATCTCAAAATTTTTGAGTCTGAGATAACAAGGATTGACTGTATATAAAGTTTTTTTTTGCTCTTAAGATGAGGTCACAGAATAACCTCTGCATAGCTATCTACATTTACAAGTTCTATCATATACATGTATATACATGTACAGTTAAAAAGAATTAAAGAACATACATGTACATGTAAGTCAATTTTTTACAAAAGTCACCTAAATAAAGATTTTCTGTGAAATGATATGATGAACCAATTATGATATGATAGTAATATACACATACATTATGTATCTCTTCACATTTGTACTCTAAAATAAACAAAATGTAATCTCAAACACTTAAACATGTATATATGGAATGACAAACTGTCAAAGTCGAGTCTAGGACTCCAAATACAACTTTAATTTGAGCTACAATAACAAAGTCTACAGTTCTGGTTATTTGAAGACAACAAGAATTCCGTTGGAATGTTGAACACTTACTTAAGGAATATCTTATATTCAGTTGTAAAACAGAGATACAAAAGCAAAAAAGGTTCATAAATGTAGACACAACACACGCCAAGTTTTACAACAAATAAAATGCAAATCAAATGCTGATAAACAAATGAAAAAGCTATGCTGGTGAAAAAAGGAATATTGCTTAAATTGTAATAAATCTAAAATAACATTTAAAAAAATCAGTAACAGAAAATAATCAGAAAACAACAGTGCAATGAATTATCTCTATTAAAGCCCCTGAAATTAGCAAAATCAATAAGTACACCATACACCTATAACATCAATACCCAAACAACCTAAAATATTACCTATGTCAACATTTAGTTTAGGAGAATTATGTCAGTGAAATCCAGGACAGCTGTAGATCAGCTGATTAGAATGATATAAAGCTTAATCATACAAAGTGCTTGATTTTTGCTTTGTGTCTGAATTGTATGAACAATGGACTCTAGAATTACAGTACTGAGAGTACTGGTAAAATATTTTTAACATTCTCCCTCTTTTAGAAACCATTTCTGGTTAACACTTCAAGGTGGTCAGATTTCTGGTAATCACTTCTACTCTGTGAAAATTGGGGATCCATTCAACAATAGATACTGTATACAGGGTTAATTTCGCCTCGTGTTATTTTCGCCCTTTCTCACTTGGAAACAATTTTGCCTCATTTTAAATTCGCCCAGTCACAATTCTGTTTAAGAAATTATACTGTCTTTTTTTTAATTCGACCCTTTTTAAATTTTCCCACCTGGGAGTAGGGCGAAAGGGGCAAAAATAAAACTGGGGCAATAATTTCCCTGTGCAGTGTATACAATATCTCTGTTATGGGTTCATCCAATCCTCCCCCCCCCCCACCCCCAACAAAAAATATTCTGCTTTCTGACGATTTATAAAACTTGTACTTATGAAACTACTGCATTAATAAATTATTTGACACATCCATACTTGTACAAATATGGCACACTTGATATATACATTTCTTTGCGGAAAGTGAATAGAATGAGGCAAAGCGGACTATTATATGAGTATACACTGAAGATTAGAACTCGTTTTCTGAATCAGAACTGAGGAGAGGCAGCATTGGTCCATTTTTCGTGAGAGCAGCTTGTGTGTATGATCCACGAGATTTGAAAGGAAGTGCTTGCAGTTCCCGAAGTTTGTGATATCTTTGTTGACGACAGGCACCAATGGTGAAAATCCCTCCGAATATCCCCACAATGATTATCAGCACCAGATCTAAACAAATATTCAAACCAATCTGTATTTGTAAATCATGACAACTTTCAGAAGAATTGTAAAATATACTGGTTTAGGTTAAATATATTGAATGTGTTAACACTGTGCAAGTATATCTGTAGGAGAGTTTCAAATCCAAGCCTTTACTGTTTACTTGGAAATTTACACCAGTTAGACAGTTAGCTTAAATCTGCTCAAAATCCCCACTACGTGTTCCCAATGTGTACAATAATCATGAAAAATCTAAATTCTAGAGTAATTTTAACCATGAAATACATGACTGTATATTTTACATTGATTATGTTTGTCTGTCAGAAACACGTGATTTACTGCTACATTAAATAACTACTTTTACAGTATTTACATCATAAAGAATACTCTGCTCATCAATAAGAACTTTACTTCCAACTTCCAAATTGAAGTTTTTTTAAAATGATAAAATTATCCAAATTCTAAATTTCGAATTTATTTTTGCATATTTACTGAAATGACTCTTCTGGTTTTAGTCATGTGAATACAGGTCTAGAGAGGGCCTTTTCTAATTGAACTGCCCAGCAATTTTAATCAAATACATAATGTACTTACAAACCACAAATGTGTTATCAGGCACAAGAAGGTCCTTTTTATCATGAGATTCTTGCAGTAAATCCTGGACATTTTTCAGTGATCCATTATTTGGTGCTGGCTCAATGCCCAGAATCTTACAAATCAGGGGGTATATGTCTACATTATTGAACGTCTCCACTGAGTGGTTGATCTTGAAGGCTGGTCCCATGGCCATGAAGTAAGGATGCATCTCCAAGAGACTGTTGTTATAGCCATGTTGTCCTTCTGTAATGGATTAAGAAGAGATTGATAGATTGTTGATTTACATCATTTTCAGATTATTTAATATCTTGCTCTTCAGAGGATGCTTGGTCCAACTCTCTCACCTTGTCTGAACTATAAGTTACAGTAGTTCCTTAAAAAATTAAGGGGGAGAAAAAATATCAACCTCAAGAAAAAACACTACTTATTGGAAGGGTATTTTAGTGGAGTATGACCACTTGTACTTATTGGCTCCTTTTTTGTGTGGTAGAGCTTGACCAATCATGCAAACATTTTGATTTATTGACATTTCCCGTTTCACTTCCTAAAATCAAAATATAATTATGTTTTGTGTACTGTTCTATCACCTATCCTGTTTATTCGGAACATTGCCTGCTTTTAAGTGTAAAAATTAGAACCACATTTTATGAACTAGAGAGTAGTACACATCTTAAAATCTCTATCACTCCAGGTTACTTAGCATGTTCAGTTTGCAAACAATAATATTTTATCAATTTCATTTCTTTTTTTTTTTTTTTAATTTTAAATTGATTTTTGGAAAAGATATCAGAAACATTAAAATTTAGATACTGAATTTTTTGGTTGTTGTTGATTTGATGACTTTTTGCTTGCGTGCACTGCTAATCCATGTCATAGACAGGTGTACTGTAATGAGTCAAAATTTTAGATTTGCACTTCATTCTCAAAATTTTGCTCAAATGTGATAATTCACTACAAAACTAATAGAAATCTTAAACAACTGTTTAAATTTGACTTACTTGTGGCATAATTAACTTTATCTGCTTTAGTTTCCACAATAGAATATCCTATCTCCGCTACCACAAGGATATCCAGAATGCGACGATTCTCAGTGTAGTGGTATTCCCTTGGAATTTCTGATTTCTTGTAAGCTTTAAGATGTGGTACTTTTTGTAACTTGCTAAGAATCGAATCCTGGATTGTCTCTAAAATAGACAATTTTAAACCCTTTATTAAAATGATCTTTTTTGCACATACATTTATACACAACCCTCCAAACCAGAGATTAAAGGCAACAATTTTTTTTTACAAGTACTCACTATTTGTTTGTCGAATATGAACCACTGGATTATTCATAACAATCACTTCAAACAAATCTCTATCTACATGATCTTCCAGTACGATTACTTTATTTTTTGGTGTTGACGACATGCCATGATCACTGGTCAAAATTAAGTTCACTTTGTTCAGTAAATTATTTTTCTCTAGACTGTCAAGAAGATATCCTGTAGCATTATTTAAATATTCTAATATGTGTGTCATTTTTTCACTTTCGGGTCCAAATTGATGTCCCTCGTGATCTGGATGTTCATAATACAGTAAACCTAGGTTTATTGGATCCTTATCCAAAAACCAGGATATTATGATGTCAATTCGTTCTTCTAACTTCATCAATGGATTGAAAGGAAAATATTTTGTTGGAAGAAACCCATGCACACTCGCCATGGAGCCAGGCCAAAACATAGATCCACTCCGACGAGGAGAAGAGAATGTCGATTGTTTTTGGTTTGTAACCCAAATAGGTTCACCACCATTGTCAAACCATTCTGACTTTATAACATCTTCTGGATTTTCTAAAGAGAAACTTTCATTTAACACAGGATCATACATTTCATTAGCAATCAATCCATGACTCTCTTCATAAAGACCAGTTACAAGAGTATAATGGTTTGGGAGGGTTTTTGTTATAAATGCATTTTTCAGTCCTTTTGTTGCATGCACTCCTCCGGCTATTACACGGTTAAAATTTACCGGGTTTTTAATTTTCTTCAGGTAGTCCCATCGGAATCCGTCGTATGACACAAGTAGAACTTTTGGGTGCATGTGATCGGTGCTGCCGATTGAGTCTAGCAGCATCAGAAAAATTACACATGTCAGTTCCAATGTTCTACAAATTCTTTCCGTACTCCTTATCATCATCTTAATAAAATTTCAACTAAAAACTTCCGGGTTTTACCCATCAAACATTGTGAATAGACTGACTTTCACTTAGAGTTTGACACTAGTCTTGCATCGACGCGTCCATTGATATCGGAAATGAAGTACGCTATGTAAAATAGAACCGCTAAGTAGTTTCCGGAAAAAGAGAAGTCATGATTCATGAACATCTGATGCTATTGAACGAAGAGCACAGAGGATAGGATGCATTCCCTCGGATGTTTTTTTTAAATTACTCCACTGGCGGATCAAGATATAAATAAGGGGCTTTTTATCTTTTTTCCCTTTAGGGGAAGGGGGGGGGGGCTCTTAATCATGTATGAAGAAATACTAAATCCCATGTCATGTATCATGATCACTCAGGCACGTAGTATCGTTTTTTAAACTTGGGGGGTCAGTCCGAAAGAAAAAAATGACATCTTACCTAAAAAATCTTTGAAAAAAAGGGAATTGTTGGAACTTAAAAATCATATTTCGTGGGGGGAGATTCCAACTTTTTCTACAAACAAATTTATTTTACTAGGACCTTACAGTGAGCCAATTTGGATATGCTGCCGGCAACAAAATTGGGGTAGTAAGAGATATAATGTTTAGAAAATTAGAAAAAATGGGGACCCCCCCCCCCTCTCACGATACTATACGTGCCTCATTATGATTAAATGTGTCTGAATAAAATGATTAAATGCCAATGCAAAATCTAGAATCTATTCCTTTCCCATTTACAAAGGAAAATATTAACATCCTCATTCTCTATTCTACGGCTGCACGGCATCCATTTTCTTGGAGGACTTATAGATTATACATGTACATGTAGGTAAAATAGTGTAAATTTATGATAAAAACCCATGCCCGGATCTAGAGGGGGGTCGGGGGGTCCGGACCCCCTGGAATTTGTAGAGTTATTAAAGGTATATACTGAAGCAAATAAAAAATGACTTTGGAACCCCCCCCCCCCCCTTAGAAAACGTGGATCCCACCATCACCACCACGAAATAGGTGTCTTTCAAGAAATTTTTCTGGGTTGTGAAGGAAATTTAGTTTTTTTTTTCTTTTTTTTTTTAGCTTTGTACGAAAGCCCATTGAGCTCATTTTCGTAGGTAAAAAAAAATATTTTTCACGTTATAATGCGAAACTTTCGCGTTAAAACGCGAAACTTTCGCGAATAAACGCGTAACTTTCGCGTTATAAGGCGTAACTTTCGCAAATAAACGCAAAACTTTCGCGTTATAACGCGAAATTATACATATATAGTCATGTTACTCAGGAACCTGTGATCTTGACTGACCGATAAAAAACATGAACGCAGAGGGGGACTTCTATAAATTTATAAATGACATTTCTTCAGAAGATGTAAAAGAGAAGTGATGCGAGAAATGGATAGATTAGTGTTGATTTTGCATTTAATCTCAAAACCCTACTAATTAATTAAATGAATATTCCTCTAAAGATTTTCTTGTTTGTCACTTGTTTAATCAAAGAAATTCTGTAGACTAATATTTGATACGAATATTTGTCATCCAATTTTCACATTAGGTTACTCATGTGATGTGACACAATTGTTCCGTGAAATATACAAATTTACCTCATTGTTGTCAATTTTCTGAGATCTTTTATTTCAAATTCTATACAGATTGTTCAACCTAATTAACATTAGACTTGTATTTTCGCTCCTCTACCATACGCTTCAACACTTGTATTGAACAGCATTGAGAAAGACAATATGTGACGGCAAAAAAGATTTAGAAATGGCGAGAAAACATAAAATTTCAGCTCGTGATAATCCAAGTTCAAAATAGTCTTTCGTTTTTCACTGTAATGAATAAACTAGATCATTAAAAAGTAAAACAAACTGTAGACTTATGTAAATGTCTCTGTTTTACAGAGAAAGTTTCGCGTTATAACGCGAAAAACATTTTTTTTTTATACCTACGAAAATGAGCTCAATGGACTTTAGTAAGCTTTGCTTTATGGGTTGGAATTTTTTTTTCGACTTGGGTGGACCCCCCTCCCCCCGGGAAAAAATCCTGTGATCCGCGCCTGTAACCCGATAACTTAATTAACCATGACCATATTATTGTTGTTTGCCCTCCTCACATTTTTTAATACATTTTGTACATGCAAAGTTTATATCCCAATGATATTTCCCATGTGTCATCAGCACATAGATCGACTTAATATGAAAATGGAACTGGAGGGGAGGAGGGGGGATGGCTAATTGACCGTATCATAAATAATTTTTTTTAAAATCAAACAGCTCTGTTTCAGAATTTATATTTAAGAAATTATTCGAGTTTCCTCTTGTGTACAACGTCCATTTTGCAGGGATGAAAACAGGCAACTGACGAATTGTTGTCTGATCTGACGCATTAACCATAGTGCATTGAATCTGTTATCAAGAAACGCGTTCATAATTTACATGTACATACTCTGTTATCAGTTAAATTTAGATACGGATATTCCAAAAGTGCACAGGTAAGGATGGATATGTTTATAAAACGCAGTCTATTATAAGATCATTATACGTACTTTAATGACCTCTTGAACATGCTGAACTCCTTAATTAGGGAAGAAGGGAAATGGAGAGGGGGCAGGCATTATACAATTTTGACTTTCTCTTTAAAATTTTGCACATGCAGACGTGCAGTGACTTGGATCATGTACACATCTGAACACAACGTTTGACCTAGATATATACATGTATGGTATTTAAAGTACATTTCTTCACGATGGCAATCTCACAGGACCAGAGTGGTATTTATCCCCTTTAAATTGGGAGTTTAGTTTTGAAATGTGTATCTTACTTAGAGATGACCCTAAAAAATAACCTTGACACCTCATCCTTTGCAGAACCACTGCAACCATAAGAAAACCAACTATATGAAAAGGCATATCTTTTCATGAGAGTATAGAATTTGTTCGTACGGAGAACATGCTTTTGTGCTTCAAATTAACTGGATCTAGACATAAACCCCATATGCAGGTGATAATAGTACATTGCTACATAAATAGGGAAAAATTGAAGTATAGTCATGCAGGGGAGGCTATTGTCTCCTATCACATTTTCAAAGTATCCCCCAACTGTTTTGGTGAATACATAGTGAATACATCCAATACCGAAAATATCATCTAGGATATATGTATGAGGTGGATTATTTATTAATTTATTTATTTCTGCTTGGCAAATCTTGTATTAAACTATAAGAAGAACAATTCCCTTAGTAAAATAATGTGCCCTTCCTTTTTTTCAGAATTATATATATAGTGTAGAATAAAGCAACAGGTAAAATGAATGCTTGATGTGTGGGATTTTGTAGGATGACTTTTTTCCCCCTTGTCAACGATTTTGTCGCCAAATGCGAAATACATTTACTCATGCAACTTTGTTAAGTACTACACTACTAGCTATTTCCTAATGCGATTTTCCCCACTGAAAAAAAAGAAAATATTTTCTGTGAATCACTTCTGTTGAATATGGTTGCACTAAAAAAAAATCTTAAAGTAAATCGACTTGCCGTATAGATAAACAAACTAAACTGTATTACAGTATGAAGATATGAAATGGCGCGAAAAGTTGAATTGGGAAGAAAAGAATTTTTATTTCCGTCAAAGGATCTGCTACAGCTTGAAGACAGTAACCACCTGCTGGATAATCCCGAGGGTCTCCGAAAAGAAATTCAAGAAAAGGGGTTGGTATCAGGGACCTATATACTTAGTATATAGGTCCCTGTTGGTATCGACAAAATGATACAAATGGATCTGAAAGTAATTGCAGGGGTTTTTTTTTAAATAAATGGCAAATTTAAATATTAGTCAATAAATAAAATTTCAGATATCTTTTTATACGGGGATTTCATGACAGAGAGGACGTTCTGCAAGCTCGGTTGTCAGTTCTGAACTATGTTAATGAGAAAGCGGAGTTTAAGCTTATATCCTCGCCCTCAGAGGGAGTGCTAGATGAAAGGTGTGGCAGAGGGTGTATTCCAGTTATGGAGGTACAACCTTCCTATTCATCCTTTCAATGGTAAAACAATTTTAATAACCCCAAAACCTTTAAACGTCATACGCAACGTACCCTTTCAGACCCGTAGTACGAGGGAGGACGGAGGGGGCAGTTTTTCTGAGAACAGTTTTTGATGTAGTTTTACTATCATAATGTATAAACATTTGCCCCCCCCCCCCCCCCGTTTTGTTGCTTTACAGTCGAACTTTGGCAAAATCCACCATTTGACAGAAAACTGTACCAAAAACTTAGAGAAAGGTCCAACTCCCCCCCCCCCTCCGAAATAGGATTGTTGAGTTTGGGAGTTTGGCCTGCCTTATATCATACCTTACTCATTGTTAATTTGGTCTTTCCACCTTTTTGTGGAAAAAAACCTATTGAAATTGATCTGTTTATTATTATTTTTCCGCCACGTGTTTTTGAGTTTCAAGATTTATCGAAAATATTTATAGTCCATGAAAATGTACTTGACGAATCATTTTTGCGTATTTGAACTTTGACACCTCAAGGCGTTATTACCACTTTTGCATTAAAAGCTTGTTATTGCTACTCCGAAACAGAAAAAACGTAGAAATACCATACCTTCAATAATGTTTTTGACTAATTTCTAGTAGACTCTTCAATCTATTCAGTGCAAAAGGATTCCTTAAGTAGTTATTGCCCCTGAAAGTTTTCAATGTTTGCCTTAATTCCTTAATTTTTTTTAAACGACCACTTGTAGAGACATGCGACCACCTGCATTAGATTCCTCAATCTCAGACCTTGAAATTTAGGTCAAAGTTAAAGGTCAAGGTCATTCAAAATATGAAAAATTTAGCGCTTTTTTATCTCTTTTGTCTTTCAACATATTTTTAATATCATTGCATCCGTTGTCCTTTTAAAACCAATTTGTTTGTTTTCTTGAATCCTTAGTTTGATCCCTTTAAAAAATATTTCCCCATTCACCATCAACCTTGTTATCGCTACTCCTCTGAAACCATAAACCATAGAGACACCAAACTTTCACTTATGTCTTTGGTTTATCAATTCAAGGCAAAGCTTCAAACTATTCAGTGCGGAAGGATATGACAACCCCTTGTGTGTGTTATTGCCCTTTAATGTCTTTGTGCTTACCCTAAAACTTTTAAACGAATAGTCGTAGAAACATAGGACCAACTGCAGTGTGATCCTTGACCTTTGACCTTGAACACTTCCTCAAAGGTCAAGGTCTCTTTCTTTTCTTCAAAATGAGTAATTTTTTTTTATTTATAAGCTATTCCTGTTTTTTTTTTCATGAAATTTAAATGTAGAGAGTAAAATATCAAAAAAATGAATTAAATTTCAAGAAGGTGGAAGGAGCTCTAATTGTTTTGTGAACAATTAGTCTACTAGTTTTTCCATGATATTCTTAATTCGAAATTATACTACCATCAGATGTTTTAGACAAAAAATCAGCATAGGTACATTACAAGGGGTTATGAATACTGAGATCTACCACAAGATTAAAATCCCTGTGTCATTAAAAGAAAAAATTACCAAAATTATAGCTTTTAAATTAGCTAGTATTTCCTCAAAATTTGTTTTAGAAGAGGTGTATATTGCATCATTATGCATTTCAAAAGTCGACAAAGGTCCTTCAATTTTTTGGATTTTGGAACTCTTCAGTTATAGGGGAAATAAGGAAATGCTAGTAAACTACGTTGCGTATGTCCTTAATGTTATCACCAATATCTACTTACTGCAGAATAAAAGGCATATACCTTTACCGTCTCTTTACAGGGGAAGAACGACATCACACACTGTCCGGAAGTTCTTAATGTTCTGGAAGGATACCGACGTAAGTTAGTCTCTCTCTCTCTCTCTCTCTCTCTCGTACATTATGCATGCATTTACATTAAAAATTATATCAATCTTGACTTTTTAGCTAAACAGTTCTTTCAGCGTTTTCTAGGCGCTGAAGCCAGAACCTTTGATTTTAAGTGGCTGAGGTGAGATATTTTAAAATTAACTGAAAGTAAGTTACTGACGTTTATCATTCCTCATAAAAATGAATAGTTTAGTATGTGAATTTGTTTATCAATGAAGACGTCAAGTGCCTGTGGTTTCAGGAGAAAATGGTGTTCTATATATAATTACTAATTAACAATTTTTAATTGTCAATGGAACCTGATTTTTATTACGATCTACCGGCAGGGGTATCAATCGAAAACAGTTCACTGGTGCTCATGTAGACAATGTCTACATGGGGCGCGGATCTAAGAATTTGTACACGGTTTGGACACCTTTTGGAGATACAACTGTGGAAATGGGCACATTGGCTGTGTGCGAGGGATCCAATTCTTTACCAGGGTAAGGTTAACGTTTCCACTGGCGGATCTCGGGTTATAGGGGCGAACTTATAAATAAAAGATATAAGAACTAGATTGTCATGAAACTGAAAGGAAAGGAAAAACGAATATACTGACATGAATTCGTTCATAGAAGTGTATCATTCGATCGATTTTAGCATCACAACGATATATAGGCTTTGATTAGTTTCAGAAAGCTTCAAGCTACGTATGGTGAATTGGATATCGAAAAAGAAAATGTGGAAGGTACCAGTATATTAATTATTGCAAAAATTTTGTCATGTTCATGCATTTTGTATCCTGTACTACTCCGTATTTGTTTCATGTGAACCAAAAAACAAATTTTTATACATAATATATAATAAGTATAAGATTCTCGTCTTCAAACACTAGGCACTGGCTGGTTTACGGAGGACCCATCAGAAATCACCTCCAAGTTTGGCGGACAATGGAAGACGTCGGACTTCCAGGCGGGGGACGTTCTCATCTTTACAATGAGGTAAAGACAGTCATGTGAATTAAAAGGAAAATTGGTTACTTCCTCAACCAGGTCAACCTTAGATGTAGTTAAATACAACGATTACAATACTCTTGTGTAGAGAAACGTTTATGTACATTTATATAAATTAGGGAAGCAATGGAATTTAAAACACAGCTTCACCCATTCGCCGTCACGTGTGGTCATTGGAGGTCATGCTTGAAAATTAAAAGTACTGGGAAACGTTTTAAGATACATGAAGCATATTTTTATATTTAATTCAATACTACAATACTTCTTTCTATGAAAATTCGTTCACTTAAAACAACTAAACATAGTATAGTTAATCTTAAAAAAAATATTGTACATGTAATATTGTTTGCTGAAAGAAAATATTTTTTTTCTTTATAGAACGATACATATGTCCACTTCAAACCTCACCGACTTCATTCGAATAAGCTGTGACACAAGGTATGTAGCATTAGACAGGGATGTAGGATCGTTTTTGAAAGTGGGGGGCCAGCCAGAGACAAATAATTTCAACTTACCCTCAAAAAGACTTGACAAGCCAAAAAAAAAAAAAGGAAATCGTCCAAACTCGAAAATCCTTTTTCGGGGGGGGGGGGGGGGGGAGGTTCCAACTTTTTTTCAGTACCAAATTTTATGCATACACTACTGCATTACCCTTATTTGACTGTACTGCAACAAAAAAAGGGGGGCAACCACCCTTTCACGAACATTTTCAATAGTAAAAAGTTATGTTTGGAAAAACGTGGGGGGGGGGGGGGGGCAGGCCCCCCTGATGCTACGTGCCTGTTACAAATTCAGCGATAGTGTGGACTTTCAGTAGGAATTTGCATCGCCAAATGGTTTCGCTTACTGCATAGTATTTGCTTTTCACCCCTTCGAAAATTTTTCGCTCATAATTGGATGCCACCAACTGTATTTGGAAGGCTACAAATAGACCATTATAACCATTGAGGAGTGAGGTATCTTTTCCGTGTCATCACCTTCTTTGACATGGAATCCCAGTTAAAAGGTCTCATCCGAAGGACCTTCAGTAGATTCGAACCTGCGACGTAAGCATCAACTCCCTACGCTACTACTCTCGACACTGCGCCACACTGGCGACTAATATATGCTGTATATTTCGCATCAGATCAAATTTTTACAATTTGTATAGGCCGTAGGTTTCACAGAAAGGGAATCAAGTTCTTGTTAACTAACTTTTACTGTGAAATTGTCAAACACATGTGTATTTGATAGGGTGTCGTAAATGACGTCTGATCTTAAATGACTGCATTCTCCATGGCAATATTTGTGACTAGTTAATATAGCTTCTGCCATGATTTCCCGCGGTGAGAAAATTTTGTTGTGTTCTCCCTGATAGAATTATTGATAATTAATATGAATCCAGAGACATATATAGAAACCAAACACAGACTTAACGTTACATGTATGTGAATCCTAAAATTAAGAGGTTACCCAAATTCTATCGTTTTAGATGGCAACCAGCAGATGAAGAGGCGGATCCCAGATATGTTGGCAACATTGGGGCGGTGGCCCCGAAATATGGACTGTTTGGAAAGGAACGGGAAAAAGTGTTCACAGTAGAGGATCTTAAAAAACAATGGGGACTCTAAATGCTGTGTTTAAAACTGCACAGGAAATTTTATTTATGAACTGTGAACATATTTTTAATTATAGATTCCGATCTCTTTAAGTTAGTGCTTTAGCATTGATTTGTACGAAGAGGCAGATATCTAGCTACTACTAGTATTATAAATTCAAGCTTATAGTATATGAGACATGAATCCTTTTAACTTTTTAAAGCATGAACTTTGGGAACATTTTCTTTATATTTCAGTCTATTAAATGTTAAAAATGCATATACATGTCTTTGTCTATAAGTTCAACGTTCATTTTGCTATATACAGAACAATTTTTTATCTAATAAATATATGCTACGTTAACAGTAACGTATTGTCAAGGTCTATGAAATTATATGTAACTCGCATTTTTTCGCTAACTTATACATTGTATTTGATATAGGTGAGTGTCGTTTTATACTTCATTCAATAAAACTGTTACCAAGTCTTCATAATCCTAACTGCTCGGCTACACCTGGAATACAAAAACAGTATTCAAATCTACAAAAAAAAATTTCTTATAATTATGTATGTAGATGAATTATTCATAAAATATATCTTTTTAAGTGTGTACACGAAAGAAAGACCCAAAACGTTATGTAACAATATTATGTAAGGCCATCTTTATTAAAACAATGTTGGCTTGCCCTCTCCCGACTCTATCTCGGATGCCGATTGGGAGTTAGTGCAATATCTATATAAGATTTTCCGTCTAAAATGTATGTACATCATAAAACTTCACTGGGAAATGAAGTGGGCCTGTACGTGATCAAATCTTCTGAGAAGGCCTTCGACATTAACTGGATTCGATCAGGTGCCTGGGGGGAGTAAGCATTCCCTGTCGACCGGTCACACCCGCCGTGAACCCTATGCATTGATCAGGTAGACGGAAGAATTGTAGTCAAATTTAGTATAAAAATAGGTATAGCTATAAAAAAAAACAACCAACTAGTGGTAATATGTTCAGTGTCTTCAAAAAATTTTCGTTTCGTCTCCTATGACAGTACTGTACAAATCAATGTCAAGTATTTTATCATGACGTTTGCACAAGCAAATACACAGTAGTTTATTTTTCTTTAAAATAAGTCACAACTGAAAGGGAAATCGATCATGATTTTTTTTTCATTCATATATCCTTTGAATTCTTGTTTTACCGCACCCATTGATTAATCAGAGAATGAAATATGTGAAGATAACGAACAGTGATCGATCTCAAAAGAAATCTACAAACAATACAAATCTGTGAACCCAGCATAAAACACGGACCTCTGGAAATTCCAGAGGTGGGATCAGGTGCCTATAGGAGGAGTAAGCATTCCACGTTGACCTATCACACCCTTCGTGAGCTTTATGCATTGATCATGTACACTAAATAATCCGTAGTCAAAATTAGTATAAAAACAAAGGCCCAATAATTGATATGGAGGACGGCAGCCTCAATACAACCATAGGATATACAAATTACTGACTTTAAACGAGGTTGTTGAAATCCCTATAACGGCAACTTATCTGTCAGTAGCCTGCCTAGGTTTAAAAAACCGACCGTACTGAGAACATGCTCTGCTCAGTATCTGCTAATTATCGAATAAGATGAGAGACACAAACATCATATGCAGGTGATAGTGGAATACATAGATAAGGAAAGTTGTCGATGGAAAAGCTGAAGTCCTCTTGTTACAGTGTAGTTGTTAGCTTTCATCATATTAGTTTTTATCGTATATATATATATATATATATATATATATATATATATATATATATATATATATATATATATATATATATATATATATATATATATATATATATATATATATATATATATATACGTCCTGCATGGTTTGAGGCAATTTACACTTTATAATATAATATAATTAGTTTACAAAAGTTTTGCGGATTATAAAGTGTAAATTGCCTTAAACCAGATTATACAGTATAACTTGGGTGACTTATTTATTTCTGTATAATGAGCATTGTTCTTTATGATTATGGAAAGTAGAGCAGATTTTAAAGTAGAATGGTAAATTTATTGAAATATTCCAGATTACAGTCTTAAAAGCATATATATTTGTGTCATATATAAAAAGGGAAATATTTTCTTTGACGAAGCTAATGAGCAGAAAAATGTTGGAGGTAGTACAAATTTATTGAGAAGATTGGATATTTTTTGCAAATTTTGTAAAAGAATGAAGTATGTTTTAAATTTGTGGATCCAATTGAAAGCAAACACCTACAAAAATATACAGGAAACTAAAATTCATTTATTACCTAATACATTTATTTTTATTACACCATGGCTGAGAAGTGGCAGCTAAATTATATTCCCATTCTTTTGTACTGTAGGAACCAAATTTTTTATATTATATTTAAAATCATTTGTTTGATAAACAGCCACTTTTGCGCGATGCAAAAATACAAAAAAATCTTATAAAGCAATACAGTTCTACGCATCACAGAAAAGAAATCATCAAACGTAATTAAGATTTATTCATTTAATTATGATATTGGACAAAACGTTGTTTGACACCCTGCTACCGAACTACAGCGCTTCCAAATGTTGTCTTAAAATGGTGGTGGAACGCATGGGCAGCAACAGCATTTACAACAGCAGCCCGGTGGTGGATTGCCTGAAACAATATACATACATTTACTCTGATAAAGGGTGTAATATGAAGATAACGAACAGTAATCAAACTAAAATTTCGGAGTAGAGCAAAGACGGACATCTAAAACTATCAAAGGTGGGATTAGGTGCCTTGGAGGAGTAAGCATCCCCTGTCGACGAGTCACACCCGCCATGTGCTCCTTGTCATGTTTAGGCAAACTGGAAAATCGGAAGACAATTTATTGTGAAACTATTGATCTAACATTTTCTATGGAAAACGTCAGACAACATTCGATAATATATTATTTTGCTAACAAGGTCACTGTATCGACCATAGGGTTTTCAAAATGTTGGCTTTAATCAAGACTGCTTATTTCCTTGTATAATCAACGTATTTCTAAATAGCTTGCCTTGCTTTAAAAATTGTATGTATGAAGAATATGCTCTTGCTTATCGGATCAACTGGATGACATATACTCCCTATGCAGGTGAAAATGGCATTGCAATATACATTTATTGACTGGGTTCGGGGGCAACATGCATTTTGTCGGACCCAAGAACCGTTAGGCCGATGGCAAACAGTTTGGTTCGAGGGGTCGACAAAACGCATTTTGCCCGAGAACACAGTCAAATGTTTTGTTATATCTTTTATTTATTTATTTTATCATTATTAATTTATTTTGACATACATGTATGTCGAACACCAACGAATGCAAATGAGATTTAGCTGACCCCGCCCATTATTTAAAGTAAGCGGTCCAACATCTCATCGACAGGTCCAATATCTCACTCCACGGTCAAACATCGAATTTTTATGCCCGCTCAGTAAAACATTGGAAATGTTAGACTTTTATTAGTATTGATTTATATAGGAACAAATTTTTAAAGGTATAACAATGTTGCTTATTCTTTTATTCATTTATTTTGGATAGTATATAATTATATGCAGTAGTCATCCTTTCAATCCTATGATTTAGAAACAAAATAAAGGATGTTAACTATTTTGAAGTAACTTTTACAGAAAAAAATTGGAAATTTTTTGATAAAAATCAAAATTGATGCGTTTCAAATTTTGTTCTACTAAATACTGAAATTAGGGATTTTGGAGAAAAAATATAATACATACCAATGTAGAATCCCTGGATTGAATAACTTAAAATACATAGGATAAATGCCACCATAAGAATGATAAACAACCAAGGCATACGCATTTTGTATGATATACAGGTACCAGATATATCAGGAAATGCATTATGAATGTCGCCAATTGTTATTTATATGGTACGCAGTCAACTGTTTTATGTTTTTGTAATTAATTGTAACGATTAATTCAGGCTGGAATTTCCACTTTCGAGGAATAAATAAACAAGATTAAAAATGTATTAATATGAAGATTTTTTACGCCCAATCTTTCAAAATATGTATTATATATACTCAATAGGTTCGTCAAAAGATAATACAATAACTAACATGGCCGTAGGAACCGGGGGGGGGGGGCACGGGGGGGCGTGCCCCCCCCCCATAATTTTTCCGATATATAAATTACTATAGAAAACATAGAGCTATGTGCTTGTGCCCACCCCCCACCCCCCCCCCCCCCCAATAATAACGTCTGATGACCTTTTTTTTTCTTTTTTTTTTTTTTTGGCTTGTCAAGGAACTTTGGAAGTTGATAGTGCCCCCTCAACTAGAAAATATATGGTTGTGCCCCCTCAAAGTGAAATTGCTTCCTACGGGCCTGACTAATATACAATTATGGACTCTTTCGATGGTGAATATGGTTTGTTATTCACCAGAAAAATATCAGTATTGACCGAGGCGAAGCCGAGGTCAATATTGATATTTTTAGGTGAATAACAAACCATATTCACCACTGAAAGAGTCCATAATTGTTTTATTATATATAGTCAGGATTTGAATGAATAAGACATTGAAGGCCGCCTGACGATTCCATTTTCATTAACGAACTTCTGTCGTAGAAACATAACAAATGTCCAGATTACAACCTATAACCTCCGTGTTTTTTTTTCGCTGTGTGTAACTGTCGTAGAAACATAACAAATGTCCAGATTACAACCTATAACTTCCGTGTTTTCTTTTCGCTGTGTGTAAGACATCGAAATGTTAAGAAAATAATCCTGTGATAGACTTGCTATTCCTGCTCATATATTCAGCGAGCTGCGGCCGTTGCAACCATTGTTTTTAACGTTGTGTGACGTCACAATGCCACTGCGCGCACACTGACCCTCCGGTGAATACGGCTTCAAATCCAGTGAATATGTAGTATTATGAACTGTTTGCATTTGTATAGATATATAGGGACTATTTATAGACTATATAATAATATTTATTATGTTCAGACTATCATTGACCGAAATTCAGAGTAAACAATTACATATATTGAAGTAATTATTCTAACCATATGTTAGTAATTTAATGTTTGTTTATCCTTAATTGTGTGCGTAAATGCGGGTTGCTTACTAGGGATAGTGAAAGTCATGTTTATTCAAGATATTTTTGTACCCCGCTTTCGCAAAAGCAAGGAGACATTAAATCTCATTCGTCTGTCAGTCTGTCTGTCTGTCTAGCTGTCCGTTTGTCAGTCTGTCCGACTGTCAC